CGGGGTCAGCAAAAATCTCAACCACTCGCCCTCCATGTCAAAGCGCAGCGCTTGCACTGGGAACTTAAAGTCCGCCAGCCAGTTACTTGTTGTGTTTTGCCCTGGCTCCCGGGTGTCAACTGCAACACTGTTGTTGATGTCGTTCAGCTTCAAGTGCCACACTGCCAGCCTTGTCTTTGCCACTTCGTTCGTATAGTGCTGGAGTTCCTTGGCTACGTAGGAGGTGACATACTGCTCCACATACTTTGCAATCTGTCCGTATACGCACTTCCCCCAATCTGCTGCGTGGGCATAGGTGCACGGATTCTTGGGAGAGCCCAACGTGCCCAACAATGCAAGGTTGAGGGCCGTAGACAAGACTATTCCTGTAACCCCGGCCGAAAATCCCGCCATTTTTGACATGATCGTTCGCGCCAGCGTCTCACCACCTGAGATCAATGCTTTTGTCGACCCGTGAGAGGCTTCGGCACCTGCCGGCCATGTCTCGAAGCTCGCCTGGTTATTGGGGCAGGATTCGTCGATGTTCTGGCACCCGGTGTAGTTGCTGAGCTTGGCCAAGAGGGAACTGTCATTCCGGAGCCAATCAAGCTGGTAGCACAAGCTCGTGAGGTCTTGCAGCAACTTCCACACAATGCTGCTGTAGCCGCCCATGCTTCGGGCATCGAAGATCTGGTTCTCCCCATAGGTCTTCGGTGCAACTTAAAGGGCCGGTTGCGCCAGGAGAAAACCATCGTCCGTCATGAAGCTGGCCATCTCACAGGCAGCCACGCGCGCCTGGCAAGCTGGGCTGTAGTCGCTACAGGACGCCGCAACGTGCAGCTCGCAGACATCTGTGCAGCAGATGGCATACATCGGGTCCTTGCAATCGAGACCCTTTTTGCACCCCGCCCCAGACCCGAGTGGATCCTGCACCATTTTGCACAGTCTCCCACGCTCAAAAGCTTGAATCATCTCCTGCATGTCGAACGCATTTGACCTTCTCCACCGACTCCACCGACTCCAGCCCGGCCACCTTGACCACATCGGCCAACGTCTCCACCTCCCTGCTTTCTGGCGTTCCCTAGCGGTCAGCTGCATGAGAGCGTTCATAGGAGTCTCCATCTGTGAACTGTTGGTACCACTTGTGCAAGACTTATGGGCGCTGTCCGTGGTCTCTGTTGCGGCATCCCCCTCCAAGCACGGGGACATGGATATCCATAGAAGGAAAAAGCCACACAGGTGGCAAAGGCTCAAGGAAGCTGTGCACGACCTTGGCATGGCTACTGGCCGCAGTGCTGCGATCAAGTCTGGTAGCCGAGAAGGACTCAGCGGAGTGAAAAGCCTACGTACGAAGGGCATGAAAGACATATCAACAGCTCCTGCATGCGCCGGCGGTATCATAGACACATGCTCAGGTTGCAAGGTCACAACGCCCTGGGTAAACTATCTTCGCTTGCAGCAAGGACAAAGCCTACAACCTCTGGAATGCCGTCACCTAACAAATGATCTAGATAAACAGTATTCAATACAAAGCAACACTCAGAATCTTCATTTTAAAACACAAATGATGCACTACGAGGTGCAAAATGAAACACAACGGCAAAAGGCAAAGCGAAAACATCAGCACCTCAACATCAGTCTACAAACTTTCAAAATGCATTTCGAACTTTCAAGCATGCACGCGATGAGCTGGCGGTTCATCGACCTCCGAAGTGGCAGCATCACCCATCTGGGTAGTTGTCAAAATTAGGGTCCCTTTTGGGGTACCCTAAATAATAGGTGCCGTATTATAATAAGGACCCAAAAAGGGACCATAATTTTGACAACCACCCATCTCTCGAAGGACGAATGTCTGAGACACGGAAGCAGCAGGAAGCTGCAAGCAAAATGCCTTCTCAGTTCTGGAGCAGCGCCTCGCCACAAAGCGTGAGGTAGGAGGTCGCTGTTCGCACGAATTCGCGGTAGGACCTTCGGCAATATTCAGTTTATCTCTATTATGCAAGCATCTTGCATGGATACTTCTGCTGACTGCACCCGCATCAGTGCAGAACCTGCCGTGTTTTGCAATCGCAGATATCAATGGACTCAGCAAATCAGTCCAAGTGTACACAAGTGGTCGTGGTCCGTAGTTTCTCGGCCCAAAAAAAAGTTCAACAGGATGCTCCCTATTTTTAGGCCCAAGGAAGCTTTGCACAAACATCTTTAGACCATGTTACTCTCATCGCCCTGCTCCCGTTTCTTGCAGGGCATCTTGAGCATGTACACCTGCGCATCAAAGCTGCGAGACAGCTCCTGCTCCGCAGTCTGTGCTTCCCACCACTCGTCCAAGCCAGCATTACCGGGGCGAGAGACGGTGACCGTGGGCGAGGCAGAGGGCTTTCCCAGCCAGATCAACCCATCCGCTCCGACGCGGTGCTTCGCGCTCTCACTCCCCATCTTCAGCTCCACATCGTGGCCGGCCGCCAAGTCGTTCAAGCCCTTGCTCCCGGTGAAAGGCTTTAGGACGTAGCTCAGGGGACTCAACTCAAGCTTGGTGCTGATGGCGTTCAGGAGGCGGTCTGCAGTTTGCGAAGGTGACACCTTCTCAGAGATCAGAGTGGGCGAAGTTTGCAGAAGCTTCTGGCACATCTTCACTGCACCGGCATTTCCCGTGTGCAGAATGACAACCTGAACGTTCTTTTCCTTTAGCGTCAGCAGGGGTACTTCGGGCTTTCCGGTGCATGTCAGGCCCGTGTCCTTGTCGCAGAAAGGGTCGTGGGAGTCGTTGCTGTAGGCCTTACCGTGGCACGGGGCATCAGTGATCACCACTGCCAAGCGCTCCTTGGCACTCCATGGCAGGTGACTGGCAGCAATCAAGGCCCCTGTAAGCTCCTCTGGGATGGAGCCACCATTTCCAAGTGGCTGCTTAATCCACTTCATGATGTCATCGGTGTCCTTGGTGAACTTGCCACCCAAGTTGAACTCGTCAAGGCCGATGTTGGGATCATGCCGTTTCATGATCTCTTTGCCGCCATAGGCAAAGACAACAGGCCTCTTCAAGTTGGCTGTCTTGTCATCCCAGTCGTTGTAGCCGACGGCTGCCATCTCCAAGTCAACGGATGCCTCGGGCATGTGAGTGAACTTCATGGCCTTCACGGCGTCCACAATGCCTCCGCAACTTTTCTCGGCCTGGTTGATCTGCTCTTTCATGCTGCCGGTGTAATCCAGAATGAAGCACAGCTGAGCGGTGATGACACTGGGGCCTCGTTGGACAACGGGGATCTTGAAGGTCTCAAGTTGCTTTTGCAAGCTGTAGACACAAGGGATCTTTCCAGAGTCGACGTTTACCTCCAAAGCCAGTTCCAAGGCCCCCGCATAGCGAGGTGCGTTCCTGGCATCGAATTCGTGGCAAAAGTCATGACTTTGTTAAAGCTCGCAGCCCATGCATTCTTGGCATCGACATGGCGCATGAGCGCATTCATCCCCGAATGGCTCGCTGTTGTCCTTTTTTGTGGCCATTCTCGTCGACATAGACGGATCTCAATTGGCATTCCTCAGTCAATTGGAAGGAAATCTGCCCGACATTACGCGGATCCTCAGACAGCTGCACAGACCATGCCCAAGGAGTAGCTTCATGTTGGCGCAGCTGGCCCCGTGCAGTCTGTCCTGGCTGAAGCCTCTCTGTAAAGACCCCGGCGGCGGAGATCTCGTATGAGGCGTTGATGTGCGTCCATCGTCCGTAGGGGAAGCGTTGAGTGCCACGCCGCGCTTCCTCCAACGAGGACTCGATGCAATCTTCTGAAGCCTCCATCGTCTGCATTGATCGAGGCCTCGCAGAGTCTCGCCTCACTGTGCGCTTGAGAACTTCTAGCTTACGTAAGACCGTGATGAGAGTCATTCTTGCTGCGAACCGCACCAAGTAAGTTTAAGTCCGCACACACACACACAGACAACACTCGACAGGCAACTGCGCGAGTTCTTCTACTCCAAGTTTAGCACCAGCCACCAGCCTCTGGATTGTGATCCGAAAGATGCACGGGACGGCTACTTACTGTCTCTGCTTGAGCATTGAACAGCTGTGGAGAAGGCTGCTGGGCCACTATCGACGTTGCAACAGGGAGCGAGATTGGTGGCTGTCCCTCGCCATCTCGGCAGAAACTGAAAACCGTTCAGGAGCCCCAAGCCAAGCTACTTCAAAGCCAAATCACTTGTCTGCAACCTTGCATGGCAACAAGACCGAAGCGAGTTCGTAGACCAGGCGCCCTTGTGCGGGAAGTCGCGGCAAGGCTCCGCGATGTAAGATGAAGAGTCCGGAACATTGAGAAAGCAGACCTCACACTGAGTACGTCTTGTAGTCCCCTTTCCCGTAGAAGTTGCGAACGTCCCACCACACCCCTCGACACCAGCCCAAGATTAGTCGGCCGGGCAGTGGAAACCAATGGCATCAAACAAGTCTAGAACACTTGAGGACCTCGTCTGGATCAGCCACGCAATTTAGGACTGTAGGACCTGTAGCACGCCTCAGGCTTCGCTCCTTCTGCAAATCATGTTCTATGGATACCTCCGCTGACTGCACCAGCACCAGCACCGAACCTGGTGTTTTTTTGCAATCGCAGGTATCAATGGCCTTAGCCAGGCAAAGGCGCTATGACGAGATTCAAGCGTCGAAGCAGCAAGTGAATTGATGGGACTGGGATAACTGTCGGCAGGGACGACATCATGTAACGAATACGACGATCCCTGCCACATGTCCCAAGTTCCGCTCTAGGCACTAAGCCACAACGGAAAGCTCCTCCTTGGCCCCTGTGTTACAAATCTGTCCGTCATCACGGAAGCAAGACAGGACGTTGGAGGGGCATCAACAAGCATGCAGGATT